AAATCCAGCCTCAGACACTTACTAGCTGTGTGACCCTGGGCAAGTCACTTAACTCTATTTACCTCAGTTTCCTCATCTGTAAAAAGAGCTGGAGAAGGAAATGGCCAACCATTCTAGTCTTTCTGCTAAGAAGACCCCAAATGGGGCATGAAGAATTGGACATGACTGAATAAAACTACTCAACAGCAACAACCACGGGCTAGGCACCGTGCTTAGCTCTGAGTAGACCAAGAAAGGCAAAAGACTGTTCCTGCCCTCAAGGACCTTATACTGTAATGGGGAAGACAGCATGTACCTCTAAACAAACAATAGATAGGATAAAGAGGAAATAATCATGAGGGAAATTACTGGAATGAAGAAGTATTGGGAAAGGTTTCCTGTAGAAGGTGGAATTTTAGCTGTGATATAAATATTGAGCCAGGATGACCTGAGTTCAAATCTGACCTCAGACACTACTACTTCTGTGACCTTGGGCAAGTCATTCAACCTCTGGCTGCCTCAGTTTCCTCATCTGTAAAAGGGAGATAATAATGGCACTTACCTCCCAGGGCTGTTGTAAGAATTAAATGAGATAATATTTGTAAAGCTCATAGTATAGTGCCTGTCACACAGTAGGTGCTTAATAAATGATAATTCACTGACTACACCACTTCAGTAGACACTCAACAAATGATTGTAAAAATTAAAAAATTAAATTTTCTCTCCCTGACCAAATTACCTTGTAATCAATTTTGTATAGAGCTTGCAAATACATATATTTAAACATTGTCCAATACAATATAAGTTCCTTGAAGCCTGGGACAGTTTCATTTTTTGTCTTTATTTTCCCAGGACCTAGCACAGCATCTGGCATGCAGTAGGTGCTCAGTAAATGTTCATTGGGTCTCAGACACAAAGTTACTGATTGATTAATACATGTGCTAGGTTGGGGACATAAGATTAACATGAAACTGTCTTTGTACTCAGGAGATTATATTCTACTAGTTTATTAGGAATAAATTCTATAGTTAATCTCAATCAACAAATGTTTATTAAGCACCTACGTTGTGCCAGGTACTGTTCTAGACACTAAAGATACAAAGGAAAAAAATGAGATAGGCGCTTGCTAGCTATTTTAGCTTTAAGGAATGTGTCATCCAGGTCCTAACAGCGTTGGCAAAATACTGATGGGATTTTATAATCGCAGGTCTAGAGCTGGAGAGACCTCAGAAGCCAGCTAGGATAACTTTCTCATTTTATGATGAGAAAGATGAGGAAACTGAGCCACAGTGACTTTTCCAGGGTATCATGGGAAGTGGGCGTCAGAGAAAGAATGTGAACCAGAGTTCTCTGACCTGAGTCAGCGCTCAAGCACTCTCTGCTGTCGGGACTGACATCTGCATTTAAAAATAACAAAAACAACAACAATGGAAATCTTTCTAATCAACTCTGAATGTCAAGAACAGCCTTCATGAAAATTGGACAAGAAGATGATAATAGAGTTCAGGAGCTCAGTAATAATAATAATAATACTAACAATAATAATAATAATAATAAATAATTTGGAGAAATGAATCGAGGCTCTCCATAGAAACAATGACATGAGATCTTCCCTTTCCTGGCTGTAGCCTGAAGGAAAGGTTTCCAAGCACCAAGATTTCTTTCATCCTGCCCCCCCCCCCGCCAGCGGCCATCTGCCTAGAGAAACAGAAGAAGACAGTAGTGCTCTTCCCCCAGACGGCAGTACGCCCCTTCCTCCAGCCACATGTGCTCAAGAGGGCAGCCACACTCCAAAGTGAACCAAGAGAAAGTCCCTCTCAGGAAGGGTGTGAGGGATCAGCTGGACCTGGGCAGCTCTGAGTCTTTCCAGCAAGGCCTTACACATCTTGGAGTGTGCAGATGAGGGAGTACCCAGCTGTAGGGGTCCTGCACAGCCACCCTTTATGGGAACATGGGGCCAACAGATCTACTTCCCCGCCCTGAAAATAATGGTATGGACACAAAGATTCTGAAGGGGAAAAAAAAAAGGCCTCTTAAACCTGGGCACTAGCAGGGAACAATTGAAAAAGCCATGGATTTGGAGTCAGGGGAACTGGGCGCCAATCCAGTCTTCAACATTTACTACCTCTGTGACCATGATGAATAAATCATTGAAACCTTCAGTTTCTGGCCCTCAGTTTCTCCATCTGTAAAATGGAGGAGTTGAACCAGAGGGCCTCTAAGGTCCTTTGTAGCTTTCACTCAATTATCCTTTAACTAAGTCATGGAAACATCAAGCTTATAAACCCAACTCCATCTCGCTGCTGCAATTGATGTATTCCAATTGAAGGCCCCAGGATCTATCACCTTCTCCATCCAAAGTACTGCGTATTTGCTCTGAATGAAGCTGAAACGTGACTGGCCTCTCCTCATCCTACATTCATTTTGCTTCATTTTGTCACCAGGTGCTGTAAGCAAACCTGTCCCCCTAACACCCCCTCCACCTTCCAATTCTGGAATAATCTTCAAATTCATTACGCCACTGTAACTTTCCAGAACAAAATATCTCTTCCTGGTCACCTCTCTCCTAAATGTGTCCTCTCCTCTATTCATATGTAAGTCCTTCGAGGGATGGAGTTGTCTACACCAGATGGTGCAGTGGATAGAGCTCTGGGCCTGGAATCAGGTAGACCTGAGTTCAAATCCCACCTCAGAAACTTAGTATCTGCATGACCTTGGGCACCCTGCAAGACCTCATTTTCTCCAACTATAAAATGGGGATAATAATGGCATCTACCTTCTAAGATGCAATCTAATATGGAAACAAACAGAAGCTCCTGGGGAGAGGGAGAGGAGAGCACTCTTTCATTTCTGTCTCTATCTCTAGCACTTAACACAGTGACAGACACAGAGGAGGTGCTTAGTAAATGCTCATTGAATGATTCACTGAAGAAAATGTGAACTTCAGCCTGGGGCACCATACCTCCTTGATCTCATCCCAGCCCTTGAAGGAAACCAAAGGGTATTTCATTTCCCACCTTGGCTTTGCCCATGACAACACATGTATTCCATGTATCCAAGTGATTCATTCCCAAGGATCCTGAGCATGAGACGGTCCAGATTTCAACAGAAAGGGAGTGGGATAAGCACACTGGTGGGGCTGGGGAGAAGGAAGTAATAGGAAGGGGAAGAATTCAAATCATAAGGGGAAAATGACTCTAAAGAAGGAAACCCATGAGCCAGAGTCAAATGGCTTGGCAGATGGAGCCATGTTCAGGGCTCTGCGCTGACAAGGGGAGGCTTTTTCCACTCTTCCTCATGTTGCCTTCATCGAATTTTATCTTTTATGTCAAGAGATCAAATAAAATGTTTAAAAAGGATCAGATTTAATGAGAACGAGGGGAAATAAACTGGTGCAATTAAAGAGTAAAAATAACTTCACTGTGGCTTCAAACCACAGGCGTTTTATAATTTCAAGGAAGGAGACATGAGCATAACTCAAGGGCACTGCCTCAAGGGCTCTGCCTGTCTCTCCCATGGTGGGGAGAGCCACAGGCAGCCAGAGGTTAAGAACTAACCTACTCTCCAGCCAGGAGGGACTCACGACTGGGTCAAATTAGTCAGATCAATCAAGCCTCAACATTGGTGCAAGGTAATCAAACCCTAGCCTTTTTTTATGATACCTGAAGATGCGGAATACCTACCAATGGGTTATCACAGATGACAAGTTAAGCAGATCTGAAATTCCCAAGGAGTTTCCATACTAGATCAGCAGTCATGTTTTTTTTCTCTTTCCTCTTTCTAGAACGATTACTCATGGAATCCTTCTCATTTGCTCTCCAATTCAAAGTGGCCTCCCTGCTGTGCTCTATAAACATCCCTCTCTTGTTTCTGCTCATAGGCCGCTACTCATGCCTGGAAAGCTCTCTCTCTTCACCTGTGTCTCGGAATCCCTTCAAGCCTCAGGCATGGGGGTACCAAGTATACAAGGCCTCTTCTAATTCTCCTCCCAAACAGAAATATCACTCTGGAGCTGAAAGGGCCTCAAAAAGCATCTATCTAGCCCAACACTTTTACAATTAAGGAAACCTGGGTCCAAAGACACAAAGTGACTTGTCTAGGGTCACAGAAGTTGTAAATGTCAGAGGTGGGATTTGAAACCAGGTCTTTTGACTCTAAATTTAGAGCTCATCCCATTGGACCATGATAGGTATGGAACTTTTTCCGGTAAAACAGTATTCGTATCTGTTCTTCTGGTTTGACCTATGACCCCTAGAGTCAATCCAGATATACCCTGAATATAATATGAAAATGATATGGCATGATATAATCATTATGAGAGTATAATAAGATACACGGTACAGCGCAACATAGTTCCATTGGATAAGCCCAAAGGTCCTTATCCTCTTCCATGTCATGGGCCCCTTATGGCAGGGATGAGGAATCTGCAGCCTTGAGGCCACATGTGACCTTCTAGGTCCTCGGGTGTGGCCTTTTGGCTGAGTCCAAGTTTTACAGAACAAATCCTTTTATTAAGGGGATTTGTTCTATGAAGTTTGGATTCAGTCAAAAGGCTACACTAGAAGAACTAGAGGGCCACACGTGGCTTTGAGGCTGCAGGTTCCCTACCTTTGCCTTGGGCAGTCTGGTGAAGTCTACAGACTCCTTCTCAGAGTAACATTTTTAAATGGATAAAATAAAATACAGAGGATTATGAAAGAAACCAATTATATTGAAATAAAGGTGCATTTTTTTTCCAATCTAAATTCATGAAACCCTTGAAATTTAGTCACAGGATACGTGGTCCCTGTTGTAGACAAAAGCAAACCTTAGACCACTTTAAGTCCCTAAGGGTTATTTCTCTTACATCCCAATCTGGACAGGAGTCTAGCCTTGATCAAGCCCAGATGGGCCTCCAGGAGATAAAGAGGTGTTGATCAGTTACCCCATTCTATTTGAGCCTTCTTCTACATAGGTGAGGGTTGTATCCCTTTTTCCCTACTCGGTCTCCTCCCCAAACACCCTTCTGAGGCCATACTTACCGATAAAATGGTGTGTAGTCGACAGTAGAATGACAGGGTTGAAACTCCCAGGCTTTGAGTTTCTGGCACTCCCGGTGTGCACGAAGCTTTACCTTCACCGTCCCTTGGCAAAGCTCTGGCACTGGCTTTCTCTGGGGCCGATTGCAAAACTCATTCGACTCCACTCGCCAGGATTCAGCAAAATCATCCACATCAAACTTGAAGTTGCCATCCCCCCCAATTAAGTCATCCCGTTTGTGCCCGTTGTAATTGCCACAAAGTCCACAGAGTTTGCCCTGCAGGTGTGGGGCAGCCATGACTTCCACAAAACTGTCTCCATCCCAGGAGATTTCCAGGCCTGGAAGAGAAGGGAACAAAAGTTCAGTCCACCATTCCCAACGATGATAGCCACTACAGCCACATTCATTGTCTTTGACAGGTGATCAACAGCCAATTCTTTTGTAAGACAATCCAAGAGACATCAAAATCCTTTCACTGTACTGGAGCCTAATTGTATTTAATAGTACATAAAATTAAACTGGGTCACTGGCTGGGTTGGGAAAGCTGGTACATGCATTTTTATGACGCACATAAAAACGTATTATACTAGTATTTGTTTTAACAAGGTTTGATTCATATATTCCTATATCTGAGCCTACTTAGCATGCTTGTTTTGTTATTCACATCAACTCAACTCAATAAACAGGTGTTTACTAGGTGCTGAGTGCCCTGCCAGGAGCTGGGCATACAAAGACAAAAATGAGACACTCCTTGCCCTCAGGACATCCATTCTATTGAAAGGTCACAGAAAATACAGTTAAGTACAGAATACATCTACTAAGTAATTTCAAGAAGGAGAGCTAGTGGACCATTGGGAACATTAAGAAAAACCTCGTATAGAAGTGCTAACTAAGTGTATTCTGGAGAAAGTCAAAGGTACCAAGAAAGAGGGGAAAGGATGGGAGTCCATCCTAGGACTGCCACCATCATACCACCATGTCCATTATATATAAGAAAAATAACATGACACAGGAGAAACAGCCCTGGAATTGGGAGTCTAAAGACCTAGATTCGTATTCTAGTTTCACAATTTATTAACTCTATCACTATGGGCAAACTCAGTACAACTCTCTCAGTTTTTGATTTTCATGTCTGCAAAATGGGAATAATAAGTATTCACACAACATAGCTCACCAGTGTTAGGAGGGAGGTGTTTTGGAAATCTTAAAAGTATTATATACATGTTGTCTCCCCAATTAGAATGTAATTAGAATCCTTTGAAGGCAGGAACCATCTCATGCTCGTCAATTCATCAGAGCAGGGTGCATTACAAATGTTTATTAAATGCTTGTTTATTGTTGTGACTAAAGAAAGTTCACTTAGCCTTTTTTTGTACCTCAGTTTCCTCAGCTATAAAATGGGCATAATATCAGTCAAGCTCCCTAACATGGCTGTTATGAGGCAAGTGCTTTTTAAAACTCCAAAACACCATATAAATGTATGTTGTTGTTATTACTAATTCCTTGCATTTAGATATTATTCCTGTCCAAATCACTTTGGGCTACCTTCAAACAGAGAGAGATGAGGTTTTTATCGTTAGAGAGGTTCACCTTTTTCTAGCACATCAAGTTTGTGAAACGCTCTCCTCACAACACCTTTGTGGGTTACATAGCGCAAGCATTATCTCCATTTTACATTAGAGAAAAATTTCAAGACATGACTTTTCCCATGCTGACACAGTGTCTGAGGTAGAATTCAAACCCATATCTCCTGACCTGAAACCCAGTTCTCGGTCTACTATATCACTATAAACATAACATAAATCTATGCTTTGAGCCTTAAGTACACAGACCCTAGTCTCAGGAGTAGGCCCTCACATAAAGAAAAATAAGACTCTTTTAGCTTGTGATTATAGACAGAAATGTTGTAGGAAGAATAGTACGTGGACTATCTGTTCCCTATGGGCTTTTTAATCTCTACCCCATTGCCTTCCACTCCCAGTTAGGCTCCTATGAAAAGAAAAGTCTTTCATTCTGTCATAATTGGAGAACTCAATGGGACCACTGAAAAGAATAGCATGGGTCCCTCTTGAAAGGTTTAAAGTCTGTTTCCCTGAAAGATCAGGATCTCAGCCATTCATCACAAATGGTTGATCTTCAGGAGGGGAGACAAAGAGGATGGGTCTGAAAACAGAGGAAAAGTCCTCCCTAGATATCCAATGGTCCCAGAGCTGACATATGGTTACATCACAAAGAAACAAGATCAAGAAGAACTCCCCCACTGGTAAAATTCCAAAAGCCATACTCCCTACACTTGGATGGCATCCAAAAGGAGAGAATGATAGCCAAGCATCATTGATATATGGTTAGGACACTCCACTGCCACATCAAAGGGGAGGAAAGTAGAGACACCTGTCAGAGAAAGTAATCTGGGAAGAAAGCTTGTGTCTTTTAAACTGAGTTTCTGTAGAAAGCAAATGCAAAGATTCCATGCAGAGAAACACAAGGAAGGGAGATACTCTCCGACCAATGCACATGGTGGGGAGGACAGGGCAAGGACTGCAGGAAAGCTTGAGGAAAAAATTTGCTCCCAAATAGTTTCATCAGGAAATCTACAGGAAAGCTTGTCTGGGAGTAATTGATCCAGGGAAGATGGCCAGAGCACCAGCTGAACATTGAGTCAATCGATATACAAGCATTACTGAACATCTACTACATGTCACACACTGTGTGACACTGTATTAGGTGCTAGAGAAGTACAAGTTTCTGCCTGCAAGGAGCTTACATTCTGCCAGGGAAGTAGAACACACATCTGGGGAGTCGGGGCCCAGCAAAGATGTTTTGGCATAGGCCAGGAGTTCTTAATCTAGGATCCTTGATTTTTTAAAATTTATTTTGATACCTGTATTTCAACATAACTGATTTTCTTTGTAATCCTAGGTATTTTATTTTATGCATTTAGAAACATTATTTTCTGAGGATCCATTTATAGATTTTAATGGATTGTCAAAGGGGTCTATCATACACAAAAAGGTAAAGAATCTCTGGTCTAGGTAATTGCAAGGATCGCAAATAGAGCCCTGGGATATTCAATGGTCATGATCTTCCCAGTAATATTGGTTTTAATTATTTTTTCCCTGAGCAAGAAGGGTTGGGGGAGGAAGGCAGGGAAGAGAACAGCGTTACATGAGCAGCTGCAGGGCAGATGGCAAGATGCCTGTTCAGTCCCGGACCTGATGCTGGGGAGAATGGATGTATGGGCCAAAGATAAAGCATGGCATGGGGGAGTGGGGCTAGCTTAATACGGGGAGCTGAGACAATGAGAACGGATTCATTCACACACTGTTCTAGGCATGGAAGATAATGTAGACTATATGGACAATATAAAGAAGATTGCTTTACAACCATCTGATCGAACTCACGTTTCCTTTTGTTTTGCTTGGGGGGGGGGGTCCAGATCTATGAATTCACTGGAATAGGAAATCTCCTAGTATGGAAATTCCAACATGCAGATCAGTCATTAAACTTCCTCTATCACTTAAAATCTAGGAGTTGCCTGGGGCATTGAATAGGTAAACTCTTTGCTCTGTGGTCACAGAGCCAGTGTGTGTTGGAGGCAGGATTTGAGCTCAGATCTTCTTGACTCCAAGACCAGAGTTCTAACCACTGCACCATGTTGCCTCACAGATATTTAGGATGAAATAAAAGTAAGAAATATTCCACAGTTTCTTGAGACACAGAAATTATTATCGTGAAGAAAGCCTGACCAATAAAGAGGCATATTGCAGTAAGCCAAAACATAGTACAGGAGAAACCTTCCCAAGGATAGCCTCCTTGCATCTGAGCAGAATAAGACAAAGGACCCCAAGGCCCAATCCTTCTATTAGACACTTGGCATTCTGATTTTCCCTCTTGAAAGCTCTTCCAAAGGTCAGCCAGCCTTTCCTAGTCAGTTCGATTCAACTCAACTATCATTTATTAAGCATGTGCTATGTGCCAAGCACTGGAGCTACAAAGGAAAAAAAAAGAGTCAAGTCCAGCCCTCAAAAAGTTCACTTTCTACTCTAAGGAAACAATATGTACACAGATGAATAAGTAAATAATGAATATGTGCCAAGTAATTGTGATTCTTGGGTAGCCATGGTTAACTGGGAGAATCAGGAAAGGTCTAATTTTAGGAGGTGGCTGTTGAGCTGGATATTTTTCCCACCTGGAAAGACATATCCTATCCTTTGAAGGTCATTATATTTGCTATTTGAAGGTATTTGTTGAGCTCTCTGAAAGCTGTGGCTGTTTCTACTCACCAAACAATGGAATACGATTCAGACTGGGGAGTGCCAAAGGATAATACAGAAAAGGTCAAGTCATCCTTCATTTTTGCCTCTATGACCTTTTTGTCTACAGAAGCCACTTTTTAAGTTGGCTCCGTATTTTATCAATGCTTCCCTTCCCCACATTTGTGGCATTTCCATTTCAACTTTCCCTGCTCATTTCATGGTGTAATATCTTCCTTTTGAGTACACTCATGGAAAGGTGATTATAATACTCAAAGGGGAGAAGCTAATGAGCTGTAACTAAGGAAATAACCCTTCAGTATGATGTCTTGAATGGTCATCCTCTTCAATGAAGCATTTTGGAAGTGCCTTGGGGGTTTATGGGCTGGCGGTTCTCTTTGCAGCTGGGACGAGTTCCCCCATTCTCCATCCTAGATCTTGGACTGAAGTAACTGGCAGATGGTGAAGTTTAAAACTGAAGCATGTGTTCCATCTGCAGCTGTGAAGAGGGGCCACATTCCTTTTCTTGCATTCTGAGGTCTTCCAATTTCCTCTCCCCACTAGTGAATGCTTGGCCTTGTTGTTCTCCACCTACTTATCCTATAATCCTGGCAATCCTGGTCCTCAATCTCAGGTGGGTACTATTAATATTCTGATTTTATTTCCTGTGTTGCTGTCATTTGCTTGAAGGAATGAGAGATTTTTTTTAAGATCATAAAAAACCCAAAGTTCTCACTGAAAAGACTGAAAGTAGGCCACTCTATCTCTAATAGAAGAATAGAAGCACCTTGAGGACAGGGACTGCTCTATTTTTGTCTGAGTGTCCCCAGTACCTGGCACAGGGGGTGGGATACTTAATAAATGCTTATTGATTGATGGAAATGATGAATGATGAAGCATACCTTTCCCCTCCCAGCAGACAGGTAATGGCTTACCAGGACAGAATAGGGGACACATTGTTAGATACAATCTGTGCCTTGGATCTTTGTGTTTAGTTATTTCACTTTGTCCTAAGGGAAGATTCAACCTGAAGGAGGTCCTTACGAGGTGACCTGAGGAAAAGTTACAAGTCAGCAATGACTGCTGGGTTTGTTCATTTGTCTATTTTTTGTTTTTTGACTTAAAAAAAAAAATTCATCGCTATTCCCTTGGAGTTTCTTGAGAGAGATGGGTTTCTTCAGAATTTTGCTCCAAAGGACCGGATACGTTTTCTGGATTTAACAAGTATAGGTCTCGAAGAAAAGCCGTATTCCAAACCAAACCACTTCAATTCAGCTTGACTGCTACTAAGCACCTACTCTGTGCCAGCCTACAAAACAACAACAGCAATAATGACAACCTTGACAACAAGCACATTACATTCTCCTGGGGGGGGCACAATATATTTATGGAGAAGGAAATCTAACTTGAGGAGGCATAGGGAGCATTAATAAACAGGGCGCTTAGAGGATAGACTCCTCTAAGAAGAGACACCTGAGGTGAGCTCCCCCTCAAAGGATTCTTAGAGGCAAAGATGAGGAGGGAATACATTCCAGACATATGGGAACAGTCTAGCTCAAGGTATGGAGACAGTAGATGCAAATCCGCCCTTCTTAGCAAGAGTTAGCTCTTCTGGATAGAACTTGTGAGGGGGTGCAAAACAGATGTTGAAAGGGGCATATTGTGTAAAAATGCTAAGGACTGCCAGGGTGGGAGGCTGGGGGGGGGGGGCTGGTTTTCCTCCCAGCAGCTTCTCTCCCTTCCCTAAAACTTTTGCCATTGTGGGCTATTGAGTGCACTGGTCCAGTTGGGTTCCAGCCATGCTCAGAGACCACTGTCCTCCTACCCGAAGCCCACAATGCTGGGCTAAGTCCTCCAGCCAGCGAAGCAGCAAGCACAGGCTTTCTTCCCCCATGCCTCCTCCGCTCCCAGCTGCAAGGTCCATTTCAGCTGTTATTTTGCAATAACTGCTCTCTCATCTCAGACAATGATCAACCTCTGGCTACGAAATGAAAAACCCACAGAGCCCAAGAGAAACACTATGGCATTCTAAGCCAACAATAGGTGATGAAAACATCTGTAGAGGGTAAAGCTGAGGGGCTTGGCTCAGCCTGGGTAAAGAACACCATTGTTTGGAAATGGAATATTTTTCATTCAAAGGATAATCCCAAAGCACAGTTTAAGGCCCAGTAGATTACATTTTTTTCACCCCAGGAAGTTGAAAACCTTGTGTGTTTCTCTCTTCAGGAAATTATTCAGCTGGGTATTATTAGGAGCTGTCCATAAATTATTGGCATTCTGTTAAGGGCAATTGAAGAGGAAAATAAAGGTCTGGGTTCGAGCCCAGGAATATCTTTCACTTTGCTTATCTTCTTCGGGTGATCATGATCAATTTCTGTTTTGATAGCAGCCAATTCCTTCCGCTCATTTTACAGACTGAGTTCATCTCCTGGAGTGCGTTCATTCCACGAGTCTATCTTTGCCAGCTAGCTCTGAGCAGACCAGAGCATCCCTAGGTCTCCATAATCCTAAAGGATCCAGAATCTTTTTGTTCTGAGACATAGCAAGCTAATAACTAATAACAGCATTCCAATCCATCACGCTCAGTTTGTTCCAAGGGAGAGAAGTTGTTGAGTCCCTCATAATGATGGCCCTCTTGAACGCACCCTAACATTTGGTCTCCTCCAGAGAAATAAGCTCTGGTGGCTTATTTTTAAAAGGGCTGGCTGGATTTGGAGTTGCAGACTTTGTTTTCAAAATTCACCTCTCTGCTACTTAATTCCAGTGTGTTCCCTCAAGCAAGTCACTTTCCAAGTAAGCCTCAGTTTCCTCAGTGGTTGGACTTGATCATCACTCCCTCTCCCCAAGGTCCCTTACAGCCCTAAATCTGTGATCTTCCCAGACCTACATTTGCTAGAATTGTATATCTCCTTTAGACTCTCACAGAAGTTTAGATTTTCTGTCCTTTCTCCTCCTGAAAATAAGGAGGTAGAGAATCAGCATAACTTCTTGCCTCTAGCCAGGAATCATTTACAAGCTGAAATCTGCCTCCTTGCTTTTAGAGAGGGTTCCCCCAAATTCTTATTCAACATTCCCCTCCCCCGAACCAAAAGGTCTCTTAGTCTCAATGGGCCTGACACATGATCATAATAAATGTCTCCATTTCTTCCTCTTGTTTATCCATGCTGGCATTCCATGGGCTCAAATCAGTTTAGCAAAACAAACCTTTGGCCCTGAATTCGAACCATTAACATATTTCCCACCCAAGGCCCCGAAGAAAGAGAGATGTCTGTTGCAAGCTACTCCTCCCTAAAATTCTGTTGCCAGGTTTGGCTGTGGTCAATATTTTCCCCCTCATCAGTTACGTTAGAAAGTAAAAATAAATGTGTATAGAACCTACAGGATCAGATACTCATCAGAGCCAACTAGGGCACCATTTTGTCCATCAAAAGAGAGGGGAACTTTTGCTGGAAAAAGTTTCTACAATTTTGAACTTATTTCCTTGAAATAATATATATCTGCAGAGAATGAAGCTCAGTGCTATTTATTCCATGAGCATCATCATGATATATAGCTATGTAGCACACATGCATGCATATAACTATGTGTATATGCATATGCATATGTATGTATGTGTTTGTATATATTGTATAAATCTAGATGATATAGATATAGATACAGGTATAATGAGGACAGTTACTGTGTACTTAGCAGCCACGGAGTAGAGGGTACCAACGTAACCTGTCCCGAGAAATGGACTGAAAAACTGCCATCCTTGATGGATACCACAGTAGAACACTAGGTTCTAGCCCAGTAGCAAAAGGACGGAGTACAGTTTTCCAAAGGAGTTCCTTTGTTCCCTGGGAAATAACTTCTCTGCTTGTAAAGACTAGCCAACAATATGTGAGTGCACCAAGAGGCTCTGATTTTAATGGTATTGGAACTTACTCTACCGGCATAGGGTATGGGCCACCTGGAACTTAGGAGTTCTTGGGGTTTGGATAAGTGACTTGCCCAAGGACACTCAACTAGTTAAGGGTCAGAAGTAGGATTATACCTAGGTCTTCCATATTCCAAGCCCAGCACTCTGTCTGCCACACAAGGCTGACTATGCGTCTGCTGTGAAGCGTTTGGTGTTCAACAAATGGATTTGCCCACAGAGCAGACACACTAAATCAGAGGCTCCCTGAGATGAAATTTTGAGAAAGAACAGCAGCAGGGCAGGGAGAGTCACCTTCCAGAAGTGTAAGAGAAGTGGGAGGTCACAGGGCAAAAGCTTTTCATCCCAGACAGAATAAAAGAAGAACCAAGGTGGTAAACAGCATCCATAGTCTTAAACCAAAGGAGAGCCTCCATGTGGGAGAGGCATTGCTGCCCTGCTTCTCACTCTCTCTCTCTCTCTCTCTCTCTCTCTCTCTCTCTCTCTCTCTCTCACTCACTCACTCTCTCTTTCACACATACACACACACACAAACACACACACACACAAACACACACACACACACACACACACACATACTGGTTTCCCTGGAATTCTTCCCACACATGGGTAGCAACCTCCCTGAACACACATGCCAACTCCAAGCAGAATGCCCACCTAGGGCACACCATGGTCCTGTGGAATCTGAGCCTGCTGCTATGCCAAGAGCCCTCCTTTGAGAATGACGGGTTAATGAGAGGCGGCTTTACTATGGGTTGTCTTGGCCTTTCCAGAGAGGAGCTCTCAAGAGAGCATTCTTTTCCACAGATGTCAAAATACACATCAAAAGTTGGAAGAGGCACTGACAATTGCAAGCCGGACATCCCTAATAGCCTAAAAACAGCAACAGGGCAGAAATCGAGAGGAAACCAAAGAGGACGCACTTGCTGTTTTCCAAGGAGATTTAACACATATGAATTCCCCGGGGGTCCACAGAGCAGAAGACTGGCAAGATTTGCCATCTGTCCCAAAGCTTACTCTGCATTGTACAGAACTCCATGGTGATTCAGCCATTCTCCCCTTTTCTTTGTGGTGGGAATGCTACACCAGCTGTACTTGGACAAGCAGCACTTTGAGGCTTACCCCCAGAGAGGAGAAATGCCATCATGCCTGGATTCCTAGCCAAGGGCTAATGCTACATACAGTGGGGTAGGGCAGACCCGGAGGATGGCCCTGGGCCCTGGGAAGGCTCCCCACCTGCTTTGGTCGTCACTTTCAGGAGGTAGCCGTCCAGATCAATATGGAAGTGAGGAGTCTCACAGGGCAGTGCTATCCGGGTACCGTTCCACTTGACTGTGAGATGCTGCTGGAGGCTGACTGTGCCGCCGCCAACCACAAGGTCCACAGCCTTGGTCCAAGAGAAGGACCGAGTCCTCCGGGCATCATTCTTCACCAGCACCTGGAAGGGTGAGGCAGAGGAGGAGCAGTCTTTTGTCAAAACGTACTGACATGTTCCCTGAAAGTTAAATGTCCGTCCGTCAAAAGTGTTGTAGTGGGGATCTCCAAATACAGTGCAAACGCCGGGCTCTGCAGGTGAGTGAGAAACAAAAGCAGGATAAAAACTAAATGAAGTATTTTTGTTTTCAAGTCATCTCAGAGATCATAGTAATAAAAATAGAAGGGGAATTGCTGCTTGTCAAGAAACTGACAGCCTCTGACACAGAGAGATTTTTTTTTAACTCAAAAGAAAAAGATCATTGTTCTATTATCACAGCTCTGGAGCTGGAAGAGACATTGGTGACAATCTGGTTCAATCCTCTAATTTTACAGATGAAGAAACTGAGGCCCCAAAAGGAGTTGTCACTTAGAATCATAGAGACATAGAGAGTTAGATGGCACCATGAAAACCATATAGTTCATCAACCTCGATTTCTTTTCCTTTGGGGAAATCAAGGCACAGAAATAGGTTAAGTGGCTTAGAATTATAGGATCATAGATTCAGAGCTGAAAGGAGCCTTAGAGGCCATCACTGATTCCAATCCCCTCATTCCAACCCAGGGAGAATATTAAGCTGCAGAGACAGGATCTGAACCCAGGTCCTGTGACTAAACCCTGTGTCCTTAATGGCCTATCCCAAACAAGTTCTGTCCTTCCAGTGGGTTCCAAATCAGAGGTGGTTTGGGGTCTGTGTGTGTGTGTGTGTGTGTGTGTGTGTGTGTGTGTGTGTGTGTGTGGTCTTTTTTCGTTGACTGATATTTTTGATGTCTTTCCCAATATCCTGTCTTGTTTATACACTTCCTATACTCAGAAACATAGACATTGAACTAGGATCTGTTTATCAACAGAGCTGACCCATCTATCCGGCTTCCTAAGCCACCAGACTAGCTAGGCAAGACAACAAAAAGAGGGGGGAAAAAAGAAATGAGTGGCTACAGGAGGGGGCCTCAGCATCATTTCCACTTAGCTAATTTGGGCATGTTCACCCCGGAAGGATGGAATCACGTGAATGATAGACGAGCGATCTTTTTTGCAACAGTACAAAGACAATGGGCTGTTTCCCAAGGTTTTCTCTAAGCTGCTTCCTGCTTCTTTTGAAGATTCTTCTGCCCATGAGCTAAGTTTCTCTTCTGGCAGAAACCAAAACACTGAGAAGGTTACTCTTTTCCAAACACCCAGACCTCTTTAGCAACAAGAATTCACTGCCACTGTCTCGATGTGGTAAAAGCTGAATTTCAATCAAGGCAAGCCTGGACTTTTTAGAAATTTCAGGACTTTTAGTTTGCCACTGGAAGGCAGTCCTGCTTTGGTCACATAATGCACAGCAGTAAAGTGCTAGGTTCACGGTCACTGCATCTGACTCAGAAGAACCTCAAAAGGGGAGCCTGGGGAAAAGGGGGAGGTAAGAGTAATTCAGTGGAAAGAGCACAGTCTATGGAATCAGAGGACCTGGCTTCGAATCTTGCACTACCTGTGTGACCTGGGACAAGTAATTTTACCTAACTGGATCTCAGTTTCCTCCTCTGAAATAAAAAGGAGCTGGCCTAGATGATGTCTGAGGTTCCTTTCAGCTCTCATTCTATGACCCCGAGTGAAGTTCTCAATGCTGGACATCTGGCAGTTTTATGCATTCATTCCCCCAACCTTGCTGAAATGAGGAGGCTGCTTCAGTGACAAGGGGGGGCACTTCTAGCTCTAAGCCTGTGATCCTGTAACAGGCCCTTCCATTTTCCCATCTGTAAAATCTAGGAATTACTCACACAAGGGACCCCACAGAGTCAGCATGAGGTCAGTGCTTTATAACATGTGAAGCCCTGAACAAATGTGTGTAATTATTACAGTTCAGAAAAGGAGCCAGCTGTCATTTCTTAAACTTTATCTCCCTCCTGCTGTCTTTATATCTTTGCTTTCTAGGCAGTAAAGGATGACTGATGAGGAAATCATAGATAAGAATTAGCCCAAACAATGATAAGATCTGAGCTCCTCAATCAAAAGAGCTATTTGTTTTCTGTGCAGGCAAAAGTCAAGAATCAAAGGGAGTCGTCCATAGACATCTTGGGTCTGTCTTCTTCTCTTTACCTAAGCAAATGGTTAAGAGTCAAGACATGTGGAAGACGCCCTTTGGAGACCTGCCACCCTAGCTGATCGCTGGGATGGGATGGAAAGGAAATATTTGCTTTTCATTTCCAATGTGTTATATAAAGAGATGCTGTCTTATGTTATATCACATTGGATCATGCCATATGTCAACTTGCTCGACGGCAGTAATATATGTATGTATATACAGACACACATTTGGGATTTCAGAAGTTAAAATCTGATCTACAATATGTTTTCTTTGTAAAGATGTCACTTTTAGAATAAGCTTTTAAAAAAGAAAAGAAGGGAGGAAGGCTGTATGGTGGAAAGAGAACTGGATTTGGATTTGGAAGGCCTCATTGGTGGGTTCAAGTTAATAACTGAAGGACATTGAGCAAGTCACTAAATCTCTCTGGGCCTCAGTTACCTCATCTGTAAAATGAGGAGGGTTTAGACTCTACATTCCCTTCTGGCTCCAGAGTTATGACCCTAGAAGTGACCTTCAACAAGTACCTTCACTTCCTGGGGCCTCAGTTTCACCACCTGAAAAATGAGGTGTCTGACTAGATGGTCTCCAAGGTCCCTTCCAATATCTATAAGCCTATGATGGAGTAACCTGAGCTATCTGGATTAGTTTGAATCTATAAATGCTTCCCCACAAAAGAAAAAAAAATACCACTATAACATATATGACTTCAGAAAGAAATAATCAGATTTATTTTAACAAGGCACCTACAGTACAAGAATTCCCCTCCCAATTTTGCTCTTGTCCTGTACTTTTGCCAAATTCACCCCCTGTATTGTTTTCCATTTCTCCTCTCCTCCTAAGTATTTATCACCAATTATAAACAGAGAGTTGGAAAAGACCCTGAGATCACCAAGTCCAATCTCCTCATTTTACAAAATGTGTAAGTGATTTGTCCAAGTGTGTAAGTGATTACAAAGAGAATGTAAGTGATTTACCCAAAGTCATAAGTTTTTCTTTGGCAGGATTTGAACTGTGACCTTTCTGACTCCACATCCAATCAGTGGGTTGACTGGATTATTAAATGACTACTGAGTCCAGGACACTGAAACCCCAGAGGTCTCAACTCAAACCCAATTAAGAAGTAATTTCCCCAGTTAAGGGAAACTTTTCTAGTCCTGTCTCTAAAACATAGATTTCCTTGTGTCCCACTCTATGTAAATCTTTGACTGACATCCAGATATTGTCTTCTGGCCAGAGACAGTAAGTCCCTTCATGTTTTAGTCAGTTGACAAGACTTTGGAGTGGTGTCAAGAGCCAGGGTTTGAGCCCACTTCAAAGAGTCAAGGTTCCTGACCTTCACCAGCTCAGAAAGGAAATCCAGAACCTCCCCAAACTTTCCAAGTCAGAATTAACCTTGGTAGACCCAGAGGGCAAGCCTGGGGGTGGGATGGGGAGAAGGGGGAAGGGAATAAAATAAATACTCTTGAGGAAATTCTTTCTTAACCAATTAAAGAAGCTAAGTAAACCTTAACTTTCTGAAAAGAATTATTACCTTTTTTGAAATTTCCTTACACTTTATCCCTCCTTTAGGAAGAAAGGTGGAGGACAATGGATGCAACACGCTTCATACACTTTGCTAATTAGTTTTCCTTAGCTTTTTCTTTGTTACAAAGAAGAGTTCAAAGTGGGTTATATAGGAATAAATGACATTAGTATATTTTTTTCAAATGTATCCATCAAAACAAATAACTAAATGTTATTTTGTGTAAATACATATGTGTGAGTATGTTTTCTAAAGAACTAATCACACCCATTCCCTCTTCCCCCACCCCACCCCACCCCCCCAAAAAAAACCAAATTAACATCTCCAGGTAGCTTGGACTGAACTGGAATGTGACAAACACTCTAAGCAAGAATGAGAATGATGAATGAAGAACCCAATGAAGTTTACCAGCTTTGTTATATGTTATTTTTGTTCATAAATATGTAGAGTAAAAATGTTTACCTTGTGTGCCAACTTAAATAATTTTCATTCCTTTTAAAAGAAAAAGAACAAAGATGGTACTTTCACACTTTTTTATGTGGCAAATAGGATCTTGATCCTAAAATTATTAAGGCTAAGTTAGAGAAAGAAAACTTTTAGGTTAGTATCACTAATGGATATTAACATGAAAATGGAAACAAAAAAATTGGCAAATGGAAAAAAAAAATTCAGTCCATAAGGCCATACTTTTGTCTATATTGGTAGCAGTTGACATTCTTACTTAATGTTTCTAGTGAAAAGTAAGAGCTGCAAAGGTCCCCCAGAAGCAGAAAAATGTCCTTAGAAACTAGAAGGGGAAAGTGAGCCATTTAGGACCATAAAAACTTGAGAGAAGTCCTATGAAAGATGATAACAACGGTTGACCATAAGTGAGAATTACACGCATAGGGATCACACCAAAAGGTACAGAAAACTGAATGTCTATAAAGACATTGTCTACAGAAAGATAATTATGAATTGACATTAGGGTTCAGTATTTCTCCAATGGTTCTGCTTTTAGGACTTGGGGAGGAAGATCACCAGGACTTTTCCTAATTTTAGGTAGAGAAGGCAGAGCAAATGTTTTCTTCTGCCATTAGGATGTGAGCTTTCAGTTTTGTCTTTGTAACTGATATATTAAGCTTGGTAAAATGCAGGTTAAAGTAAATCATACTTCATTATTGTGAAGAACCCATCTTCCTATCCCAAATACTTAAATGTTTTCTTGGCTTCTAAAGATCTGCCTATTATATGTGAGGAGAGAAAAGAACATGCATGTTAGCGTAATGATTAAAAGAAAAAAGTTTAGGGTATGAAATATGCTTACCTACATGTGCACAGAGGAATGAAAGAGACAGACAGAGAGCAAGACAAGGAAAGGGGGAAAAGAGGAAGAGAAAGACAGGGACAGAGAGAGAAGGAGAAGGAGCAGGAACAAGAAGAGAGACAGATGCTGTACAAGTGCTTGGTGGGGGCATGAAGATTATATCTCTCAATGTTATTTCTTTTTCAGGACACTCA